GCGACGGTCGAACGGGAATCGCGATGGAGTTCTCAAATTTACATTGTTCGACAGGTGAGCAGGTGTGTGTCGATTCGGATCGTTCGTTATCGTCTTCGCGCGTGCTCGGAGGAAGTTAAATGGTGCGGTGATTTTTTTGTCGACGAGATCGCGGAAAGATCTCTGCTCGGTTCAGGCTTTGCCGGAGCGGAAGTTTCACGATTTGCTGGGGGAACATTTTTTGAAGATAAAGCGCTTTTATCCATTTCTCGTTCGTCCGCTGTATTAGTTAAATAACATTCCCCGAGCACACGCGGGTGAGATTGATCGCCTCGTGAATCAAAGATGATAAAAAGAGAAACGAATCGAACGATCCCTTCGCGTAGACGAGCGACATTAACACTAGATTCACGGACGTTTCTATGTTTTATTCTATTGTTTCTAGAAAATTACCTGTTCATACATATAAATCCCTGAAACTGTAACTTCAAAACTAGAGTATCGCAACGCGTATTCGCAGAATTGCACGAATCAAGATCAACCGAAACCGTCACTAGATAATGTTTAAAAAATTCAAGTTCCGTAAATCTAGTGTTAATTACCAATCGAACCGTGCCTCCACCTGTTCTTCCTCGACTCGACGCGGCGACGAGATCGGGGCGAAACGCGTTCATCGATGAACAGAGGTAAAAGAGAAAACACCGAAAAGAGAGGAACGAAAAAATGATGTGTGTGTGTGTAAGGACACTCGCGATATATTACAATTATCCGTCCATACGCTGGCATACACGAGAAAAATCATGTTTCGCTTTATATATATACATATACATATATATTTACATACATATATGTATAAATATATACCTTTGTGCTATAGGTGAACAATTAAAGATTCACGGAAGTCTCATCGACAGTTAATAATACTCTCTCGAGGCAGTCTCTCTTAGTTTCCTCTTTCTCACTCTCTCTCACACTCTCACTCTCTCTCACTCTCTCTCTCTCACTCTCACTCTCATTCTCTCTTTTACATTAACATTCTATCTCACACTCGTGTTATCTTTCAGTTACAAGTTTCACAGTAAAAATAACACCTCGTAAACGTTATAAATACCGTTTCTTTTTTTCTTTTTAGGAGCTATGGCTTGCCGGTTATGTAATTAGTACGATAGGTATACATATAGATGTACGCGCACGGGCCCCAAATATACATCGACGTTACACGAGAGTACATTTACGAGTGTGTACACCCTTTACGCGGCGCGCCCGGAATTTTACATTTTGTTGTGTTCGCCTCGACGACCTGGCGCGCGGTTCATGCACGATTAACACATTGACCGCTGTACAGCTGAATTGCAGTGATGCTCAACGAATTTCACGCGTAAACTCGAAAATGAATTTCCACGGTGAGAACCTAGGGAATCATGGATCTATGAGAGACCTTGACTCTTCGGTTTCTATTGACAATGAAACCTATGGAATTTTGATGATCACCGATTCGACAGTCGAAGCGTCAACGCGCAATCGAATGGATCCCGGTCGCCAGAGCAGAAGATAAAGTCTCTCCGTTCTCGTTTTACAGAGACACGGGAAATCAGCGATCGACGTTCTCCGTAGAAGCACGGGCCAGATCATAGATAAATACAAAAGACGGTCGAGCCTCGGGATAAAAAGTCCTCGAACAGAAGAAACGAGAAGAAGAAGTAGAAGAAAAAAGAAACGAGGAAAGAACCTGTCGCGCGTCGGCTCTGTCGAGCCTCTAAATTACAAAGTAGAATAATATGTGTATACGTGTTACGCTGTACAAATGACTGTTCACACCTGAATCCGTTAAATCTATTTAGTCGACGAAAATTGTGCCCATCTCTGGTCTAAAGTGAACACAAGAAAAACGCAACGGCTAGATCGTCGTTCAATTAATCGAGGAACGTTCCGCGAGCACACACATGCATCCTCTCTCTTCCCCCTGCTGCTCGCAGCGTAGAGAACGCGTGCAACGATCGCGACGCGAGGGAATCGGATCGATCGATGACGATACTTTACACGCTACTTTCGCCGCGTCGCGATCCTTACAGGAATCCTTACAGGAATAAGCGTTTCGAACGAAAGTGACAGGATGAACGATCGAATTCCGTAGGAAACCTCCGACAAGGACGACAAGGACAGCAAGATATTCGTTATCTCCATTCCACGCGAACCTCGAAAGTCTCGTTCATCTATTTAACACTAAAACCAACAGTTCAATTGACTGGCTCGCATCTCCGTTTATATACAAATTACAATCAGCGTTGGCTAATTCGAATGATTCCCCAGAGTCTGCGTCGGTTCGACGAAAGAAATTCGAAGTCTAACTTATCCGGGAGGTTCCAGTGTTAAATGAAAAATTCAATCGACTGTTCCGTCCAGCGATAACCGGTTGACGTTCATGTACATTGACAAATATTTCTTGCTTTCCTTTGTCCTAGTTATTCATTAGTTTATCGCGCGACGAGAGCGACAAGGTATTCTTTCCCGCCTGGTGTTTATTATTAACGCACTGTTCAGTATAAAACCGAGTTAAAAAATTCCTCGCATCGTCCCGTGAGAACTTGGCTTTCCATGAAAGTGATGACGAAAATAATTTGCCATCTCGGTTTCGTGCTCCGGAGAATACCTCGGTTAATTGCGATCCTTTATGGAAAGCAAGGAACGCACCGGCGGAAAGAATACGTTCTCGCTCTCGCGATTGGGTTCGGGGAACCACGCGCTCGCTGGCTAAAGGAAACGCGAATGCGCACGACGGTGAACGATACGGGAGATTTACATCATATACAGGGTGTCCAAAACACGGCGTCGTCGGAAAGGAATTGAAATTGCACAGACAGCGGAGAAACTCGACGAGAGTCTCTCGGATTTTCTTTCTTTCTTTCGTTTGTACACGTCGAGATCGTACTCTTTTTTTTATATTTCTGTTTTCCTTCTTTTTTTTTGTTTGTTTGCTTGTTTGTTTGTTTGTTATATTACGTGTAGTGTATAATATCCCCGGGACACGAAAGCATCGTTCGGAATAAACAAGACGCGGGAACTTTACATTTCGAAGTCGAATAAATAAGCAACGTATTATACCTCTGTATGTTTTATAACATTTACATTGACATACTTTGATTGTAAAGATTTGGAGCCTAAACGCTAGTCAAAAAGTGTACGTGTAAAACGAATTTGTTTTTTTTTCTCTATCTCTTTTTTTCTCTTCCTTTCTCTCTCATTCTTTCTTTCGCATACACACACGCATACACACAATACGTATACACAGGCGTTCTCGCATTTTCTCTAGCTCTCTGAATTGCTCTCTTTCAGCGTG